GATCTTGAGCTGGTTACTCACCTCGCCGTGCCTCAGTTCTCACCATCGGTGAAGTGGCGATGATAAAATCTGTCTCCTGAGGTCATGGGTGGGCTAAATGAGATGGTGTAAAATTCAGTGCCTAGTGCAGTCTCTTGGACAGTGTGAGTCTTTAGGGGCGGACGAGATGGGTTGGAGCCTGTGAGTGGAGCCGGGGCTTCTGCAGCCACTCTCGCTGCAGTCACACTGGCATTCTAACCCAAAGTTCACTCAGACAGATGAGTAGATAATGCGCTGCCTATTTGCTATTCAGGATTTTCAAAGAAAAACTTATACTAACTACTGTTATCGTGTTCTCTCAAACCTAAATCCCCATGTTGATCAGATGTAGTAAGTTTTCCTCACTGGTTTCCACAAAGGACCATTCCATCTCCTAAGGCTGCAGTTTAAAGACCAACTCTGTGGCCACCACAGAAGCCAGATGGGCACATGAAGGTGACCAGTCCTACAGAGCAGTCAGAGAGCAGAGGGCACAGGGGCCCTGCCAGGTCCCCCACGCCAGGCCTCTGCCTCCGGACAAGGGGTGCATGCCCACCATTAGACTCTCCAGGGGAGGGGGCGGAGATGCAGGGGCGAACCGGCATTGGGTTAGGTGCTGGCAGGTTTCATGCCACACCCCGTGAAGAAAAGAGGAAACCTGTTCTGAACCCAAGGGAGGGGAAGGGGAAGGGCATTTGCCCCCCGTTCAGGTTGCCCCAGGCGCTGGGAGTCTGCTCTTCAGGCGTCCAGATTAAATGAGCACGGAATGGAATCGTGCCTGCAGCAGTTACTCTCAGGGCCATGAGGTTGACTCTGGAGGGAAAGGAGCCTCGTCTCCACGTTTTTTGGTTTTCCTTCCTTTTTCTAATGGGACATGGGCTTCATGTGCCATTGAAAGTGAGAAAAACTCTGAACCCACAAGAAGTTCGAGCTTGATGATGAGTCTGTGTCCTGGCCGCATGTCGCAGGGACCGTATAAAAGTGACTCTGCTCCCCTGAGGGGAGGGGTACCGGCTCCAGTATGACGGGAGGGGTGGCCCAGGGCCCTTCTTGTCCTAAACCCGTGGTCGGCAAACTGCGGCTCATGAGCCACATGCGGCTCTTTGGCCCCTTGAGTGTGGCTCTTCCTAAGCCTTAGGAGTACCCTAATTAAGTTAATAACAATGTACCTACCTATATAGTTTAAGTTTAAAAAATTTGGCTCTCAAAAGAAATTTCAATCGTTGTACTGTTGATATTTGGCTCTGTTGACTGATGAGTTTGCCGACCACTGTCCTAAACCAAAAGCCATTTCCTGTCCTCTGGGTCCCACCACAGCCTGTGAGTGCTGAGCAGCAAGATGGCCCATGCTGGTCACGGCTCCCTGGACACAGCAGACCTCACTCCCAGCCAGCCCCTGCTGAGGGTCCGGTGAAATCCCCCATCTCCTCCAGACCGAACCCTCCCACAGGGCTGCAGCAGCCCCGGGGATGAAGGCACGCCGCCCCTTTCTGGTCGAAGCATCTTTTAAATGAATCCACACAGCCTTCTCATGGCGGGGGAGGGGGACAGCTTTCAGGAACAGTCTTAAGAAACCGAAAATGATATTTGTCATCTCGGAGGGGCATCGTTTAGAAGGGGCTTGTGGGGAGGCAGCACCGCTGGTGGTCTCCGGGGCTGGATGAGAACACGTGCCGCCTGCAGCTCTGCTTGCTGGGTCCTCCCCCACCACGTGCAGCCACAGAGAACGCGATGGAGGACACACGCGAGAGGGCTGGCGCTTTCTGCGAGTTGAAAATATTTTCCTGGCCATCTCTTATTTGGGAAAAATGATAAATTCTGTGATAGAGAAAAAAAGGGTCATTCTAGTGATTACCTTCATCCTCTGTAATGATGATGAATCGACAATTTGGCATTTTTAGAGGCAGTTGACACAGGCCCTTTCAGGGGGGAAAAAAAGAAAAAAGGCAACCGGTTTTCAACCGGGCCCTGTCAGCCTGAAGACGGATGAGCTGTGGCTGATTAGGGCCATGAATAGATGCTGAGAACTCGGGTGCGTGAGGAGCCAGGGGTGAGACTTATAAATCAAGGCTGAGGTAGGCGTAGAAAATTCTAAGCCATTCCTTCTGCTCGGAAGGTAGGCATGAAGTAGGTTCCCTCTGGGTAAAGGAACACTTAATATCACTCTGTGAGGTGAACTTAGGAGCTTTATACTTTTCTTTACTCACTGTTGAAAAAAGCAATTTAAAAATTCTACTTACCGTGAGAAGTTCTGATATTTAGGGTTAAAAGGAGAGGAGGAAATTCTCCTTCAAAGAATATTCTATTGGTCCTTTTATGTCAGAACTAGAGTCCTGGTGTACGACATCGTACACTGGGGGAGGGGGGGAGGGGATCCCTCAGCCTGGCCTGCGCCCTCTCACAGTCCAGGACCCCTCGAGGAATGTCCGCCTGCCCCAGAGGCAGGAGAGGCTCCCGCCACTGCGCTCACCAGCCGTGAGCCCGGCTTCTGGCTGAGTGGCGCTCCCCCTGTGGGAGAGCACTGACCACCAGGGGGCAGCTCCTGCATTGAGCGTCTGCTCCCTAGTGGTCAGTGCGCATCATAGCAACTGGTTGTTCTGCTGTTCGGTCGATTTGCATATTAGCCTTTTGTTATATAGGACTTTGTTAACAACCCTTGAGAAAGGTTATCAAAACCTCGTTCCGTGTTTTAATTTAGTTTTAAACAAGAAGCCATTTCCTTCATAAGAAACTAAAACCCCAGAACAGTCCACAGGGAAAGCCCAACCTGAGGGCAGACTCCACTGCAGGAGGCTTTGGGGTCTGGTTCTCAACTGGGAAGTGGCTTTTCTCGCGCTTTCCCACTGACGGTGGGAGGGTCATTCACGCCCAGTGGAGTGCCTTCCTTCCTGTCCAGAGGCTGCGGTCCTTCTCAGAGGACAGTGGGCAGTGCACTGACCCGCCGGGAAGAAAGGACGAAGGACGGACGGCACGGGGGGATTTAGCTGGGGTCCCAGCAATGCCAGCGCCTGTCCTGAGCCAACCCGCCACCCCAGCCGGGGCTGTGTCTCCAGGCCGCGGGCCGCGGGCCGCGGGAAGGAGGTCTGGGGGAGACCACAGCTGCAGGCCTTCAGGCCGGGCCACCCTGATATTTGCATAAATGGGCCTTGGAGAGGCTTCCCCACTGGGACAAAGCAGTGAGCGGGTCGCGAGGACAGGGCAGGCTTTTCTTCAGAACAGTCCTCAGCTTGGGTGACCTTCCTGCGCGGAGCCCGCAGGTCAGCCCAGCGTCTCTGTAACCCGCACCATCGGGGTCTACCAGCAGGCCCTTCGGATGCAGGCTTGTCTGTGAGCCTGTGTGAGGCCTGGTCTTTCTTGTGTTTTGTTTTAGCCCAGAGGGTGAAGTGCTGCCAGCATTATGTCTGGAATGTTATTTACTTGGTGCAGGCTGTGGCTTTTCTCTGCAGCGCTGCACATGCCGGAGCCGGACTCACCGACTGACGGGCCAGGGTGCAGTGGGCGCTGTCAGCTCCTGTCCTCAGTTCTCTCCCTCCCTTCCTTCCTCCCCCCCTCCTTCCCTTCCTTGCTTCCTCCCCCCCCTCCCTTCCTTCCTCCCCCCCTCCTTCCCTTTCTTGCTTCTTCCCCCCCCTCCTTCCCTCCCTCCCTCCCTTCCTCCTCCCTTCCTCTCTCCTTTCTTCCCTTCCTTTTTCCCTATTTTTTTCGGAATCAGTGCTCTGAACTACTATGGGTGCCCCCATGTCTGAGATGCCCCCCCTGCACTTCTATTATCTGGAGTTTCTGGTGGATTCTGGCGAGAGCCTGGCAGACGCTTTTTCATGTGCGTGTCTGCCCTGTTATTATTTCACATAAAAGCTGTCTGTTTTGGCACCCGACTCCGTGATTTCAGTTGTGCTCTCTGGGCCGAATGAGTGATGTTGTGCAAGAGAAATGCAGGTGGGGTGTTCTCTCCTGGTGGCCGTGGGGGCGGAGGACAGAGCTGAGCAGTCCTGGCTTGTGCGGAGCCCACATGATGGCTCACCCACCCATGGCTTTTGAAGGAAGAAACCGGCATGGACAGTTTCTTGATTTGGGAGGTTTCACAACTGTTTTTGTTCAGCTGATGGAGGAGAGGTTTGTTAAAGAGCAAACTCTTCATTAATAAGACTGTAAACAAGCTGTGGATAATGAGGGATGCCGCAGGTGGGAGCACAGGGATGCTCTGCTGGCCTCCTCTCTCCAGCCTCCCTCCCTCGCATTTCTTGTGTGCAGTTCTAATCGTGGTGTTTTGAGTTTCAAAACAAAGTATGGAAAATGAGATTAGATAAATCTCCCCGGCTGGTGCCAGCCCTGGGGCCGTTTGCACACCTGGGTGGGTTAACTCCTTCCTCTCTCTCTCTCTCTCTTTGCATGATTTTTTATGCCATGTGAATAAGTAAACATCTAAGATAGGAGATGATACCACTTACAGTCTTTGCCTTACAGAGACTCCACTTTTATCTGCGTGTCTTGGCAAAGTCGCCCATCATGGCACCTGCTAGTTTGTTAACGCGGTAACAGCCCGTCTGAAAGGGAAACTTTGGGTTCCCTGCTTCCCGGCTTCCCTGCCCTGCACGACTCCCCAGTCTGTTTGGAAGCCACAGGGTTTGGCTGCAGGGCCTTCTTTGATCATCTCTTGACAGCACCGGCTGCGCGTTCTCACACCTGCCCTCCTTTCTCGGCCAGGTTCCCCAGTAAGCGCTCCCATCGCCTCGTAGTGTCTTCAGTGTGAACCTGGGTGCAGGGTGATAGGTTCCAGGGCGGAGACAACCGCTTGGCACCCACGCCCCTGAACCGCCGCCAGGAGTGTAAACGGCCACTTTGTTTGTGTCTAAGAGCATCAGAGCTCGGCCCTTCAGTCATGACGGAGCATGCACACAATAACAGCAGGCTCGGGCGGAGGGCCCGCCCGGCCGCCGCCAGGACAGGCTCTAACAAGACTCTGTTTTCTCCTCCATCACCCACAGCCCACACATCGTCTTCCTCTCTCAGAGCACCCTGGCCGGAGGGAGCCACCTCTGTGGGACCCGGCTCTGCCATGAAATTGCTCACGCCTGGTTTGGCCTGGCCATCGGGGCCCGCGACTGGACGGAGGAGTGGCTGAGTGAAGGGTTTGCCACTCACTTGGAAGATGTATTCTGGGCCAAAGCACAGCAGGTAGGTTTAAAGTGACCCCAAACATTTCACTCCCTGGAGTCAAGTTCTATTCACAGTCACTCCTTCATTCAACAGACACGTACTGAGTGCTCACTGCGCCGTTGGTGGCTGGGAGGGGGCTGTATGATGGAGGGGAAGTCCCTGCGCCTGCGGGGGACATAGCCAGAGGAGAGAGAGACAGCATCCTCCTCACCACGTCAGGGAGGGAGCACTGCGCAGGAAAGGCAGCTAGGAGAGCAGGGACACGTGAGCCAAGACCTGCAGGAAAGGCCGTGCGCCGGCTACTCAAGCTCCTCTGTGCTGTGGTTGTGGCGACAGTGACTGTGTTTTGTTCAATAGTGAGATTGAAAGTTAAATCAGACGTCAGAATCTCAGATGCCTGCGGGCCAGGAAGGAATGAAGCAGTTGGCGTTAAAGATTAGGGAGTGGTGGGACTGTGGAACTGGTCCTCAGCCCTAACCACTGTCATGTTGCAGGGAGGGCTCAAGAGAGCCTAGGCGCCTGGTCTTTTTAGAGAAAGTTACAAATTTGGGTTTTTCTGTGAAATTTATTAACTTAAAAAATATGTAAACTGACACACCCAGAGGCCAGACCTGGGCAGCACATTCCCAGTACCACCTCTGCTTTGAAGAATTGGCCGCCAGTTCCAAGGAGGACATGGCAGCGAACCTACTTCCTGCTTCCTTTCTAGTGTCTAATATTTGGTCCCTTTTCTTCCCCTTCCATTTCCACCCCTTCCATTTTCTAAGTTCCCACGATTGTGCACACCTGTATGCTTTCGTTCAGATTCCTTCTGCGTGTTGAAATCCCATTTGTTTCTCACGGACGGGCTCAGGGTCACGTTCTCTGGGTGGCCCGGCCAGATGGCTCTACTCTTCTAGGAACGGCGAATGCTCGAGTGTTCGTATAGGGTGTCCCAAAATTCACGCAAGATTTGAATTTTGCGTGAGCATTAACAACAACAACAACAAAAAATAAAAGCCTAATTTTACTTGGTTTATTGAATCAGATTCTAATATCTGTTGCCCTTTGATTTCAATCCCTTCAATTTGATAAGCATTACCAAGTACCAATGATGGCCCAGGAGCAGGGACAATGAAGACCAATGAAGACCACGGCTTTGCGTATGTGCCAGCAAAGCCGTGGAGGCCATTTACCTGATGTGCTATTCCATACATAACCCTATACTATATACTTTATGAATCAATAAAAAATTTACAATTTTTAATTATAAACCTGTGTTTTCTATCAAAATTACTTCTTGCGTGAATTTTGGGACACCCTATACTAACTCACCTCTCTTTCCCCACTTTCTTCTTCTTCCTCCCTTCCTCACAGCAGACTGCGACCTCGTTCAGAGCAGGGCTGTGTCTTGCTCGACCTTCCACCCCTGTGGCGCTGGCAGTGTGCACGTCTGCGTCCCCTGCCAGAGTCCCAGGAAGAGGGGCCAGCGTGGCAGATGGGAAAGTGGCTGCATTCCGAGTCTGACCAGGCTTGGAATCCCAGCTCTGCTGCTCGCCAGCCTCCCTGAGCCTTAGTTTCCCCATCTGTAGAATGGGTATGAGAGTGCTTACCCTGCAGGTGGAATAGCATAATGTGTAAATGAGCCCAGCACAGTGCCTGACACATAGTAGGCATTCGGCCAAGGTTAAATAGGTTTCATATAAGTGTGCCTCTACCACCATTCCTTCCCTGGGGTGCTTCCATGCTGAGGCAGTCAGAGTTGTGCTACTCTTCGTAATTGCGGGTATATTTCAGGCATCAGATGAGGATTTCTCTGTCCTTCTGTCTCTGGCATACCCAGCGAGCACTCCTCCGCCGCCCTTCCCCTGCGGGAACTCCTTACTGCCCTGAACGCCTCTCCGCCAACACAGCACAAGCCTGGCCTGGTTGCAACTCTCAGCCGCACCCCTTCCCTGTGCGCCCGCCCGGTGCTGATCTGCAGGGAGAATGGAGAGTAGGACACAGCCCTGCTCTGGAAGAGGGCAGAGTCTAGTTGAGGTGATAATAAAAGCACACAGGGGAAGGAAGAAGAAAATGTTTACAAAAGAGAGGTAATCACCACACACTGTGCAGCCCAAAGGTGGGCAGGCCAGGTGAGCAGATCCCGCAGTCCTGTCTCAGGGGTGACTGCTGTCGTCAGCTCAACAGGAAAGGAGGAGCTGAGGCTGCTCTGTCCCTCCGCTGCCCCTGGCCTGGCGTGAGGGCAGCCCGGCTCATCCCCTTCAGGTGATGCAGTAACTCCATCTGGGAAAGCACGACCCCCGAGGCAGAGCGGCCATTCCAGCACCGAGTTTGGAAATATCTCCCGAGCACGTCCATCACTCTGACCCCTTCCGGTGAAGGGTGAGTGAGACAGCTGGTGCTGGTCCCTGACAAGTGCCCATAGCAGGCCTTCCCGGCGGGAGAGGGTGCTCAGGGCAGGGTGGGCCACCTCCCGGACTCCCAGGCAGCAGTAGGAGCGAGTGAGGTCGCACAGGCAAGCGTGGCAGAGTGGGGGGTGCGAAATCCCTGGGCAAGGAGACAGAAGTCCGCCTTCCGCTCTGAGTGGCATTCTGCGGGGACAAGTGGGATGAGTCGGATGCCAGATTGGACCGCACACCTGTCATCAGCCTGGATAAAGTCTAACTCTCACAGGGGTCTTAAGCAGCCTGCAGCCAGAACAGCACATCACAGACTGGAGGCTGGAACAGACCTGTTTTCTTAGTTTTAGAGGCTGGAAGTCCAAGATCAGGATGCTGACAGGCCTGACCTCTCTGCCTGGCAGCGACGGCCACCTTCTCACGGTGCTGTCAGTGCTACTGTGGAGAGAGCCGTGCTGGTGTCTTTTCCCTTCTTAGAAGGACGCCAGTCCCATGGAACTAGGGCCCTGCCTCCATGGCCTTCTCATCCTTAACTACCTCTTTAACAGCCCCGTTTCCAATACAGTCACATGTGGGGTTAGAGTTCCACTTATGAATTTGGGGGGAGGGAACATAACTCAGTCCATAACAACAGGACATACAAAGTCTGTAGGTCAAGCATGTCAAACTCAAAGGCTAACATGGGCCAAATAACCAAGGTTTAAGTTAATGTGGGCCGTAAAAACCAAAAGCTTCCATTTTCATAGAAACGTAGGTTTATTTCGATAGAGACATGCTGAATACAGCTGATTGCAGGTGCTGAAATAAATGAGTCATCGTTAACATAAAATAATAGAACATTTTAATAAAAATTAATATTTTTTCTTGAACATTAACTTACCAGACACTGAATAACTGCACAAATTAATAAGCATAATGCAAACAAACCTATTTTTCTTGTTCTCCAAAAGCGAAATATTTCCTGTTGCGCACACCAAACAAGTCAGTCCAAGACGAATGACGTGGCAATCAGCTGCTAGAATATTCGCTGCTAGTGTTAGTGGAGAGAAGTGGTGCGCCTGCACATAAGGCGAGTAAGGGAAATGAATGCAACACGATTATAGTGATCAGTCATTAGCGAATGTTGTAGTTCGTTATTAATAATTATGTATAACAGGATATTGTAACAAGTTAGGAATTTTTTATTAAAACGTTTCTTACATACCGTCATATTGGCTGGGCCGCAAAAATATTTGTTGTGGGCCGCATGCAGCCCGTGGGCTGCCCGTTTGACATGCTTGCTGTAGATCATCTGGCCTCTGCTGACTGCTTGTCACCTGCCCTCTCCGATGCAGCCTGCTCCTCTCCTGACCACGTCCCTGGTCCCTGCTGTTCCCTAAACACATCAGGCTCTTTCCGGGCCAGCCTTCTCTCTTCCCGACATTCCTCCTTGGGGCCTGACTCCTGCTTCCCTGGAGACCAGCTCAGGCCCTACCACCCTCCAAGGAAAGCCTCCTACCCCCCTGGTTGGCCAGGAGGCATTTGGCTTCTTCCTTCAGGGGATGTTCTTATTCCACCCCTCCTTTACCCCCCTGCACCCGCCAGACTCCATGGGGTAGGGGCTGTGTCCCTGATATCCCCGGGGCCTAGCAGAGACTCTGCAAATGTCTGTTGAATGGACCATTAGAGACCTTTTATTTCCGGAAATGTGTCTAGGTCAGGGGTGGGCAAACTTTTTGACTCGAGGGCCACAATGGGTTCTTAAACTGGACCGGAGGGCCGGAACAAAAGCATGGATGGAGTGTTTGTGTGAACTAATATAAATTCAAAGTAAACATCATTACATAAAAGGGTACGGTCTTTTTTTTTTTTTTTTTAGTTTTATTCATTTCAAACGGGCCGGATCCGGCACGGGCCGTAGTTTGCCCACGTCTGGTCTAGGTACTGACCGAGTCCCTCCCCAGTGGAGGTTTTGCTGCCTCCCTTAAGGAGGTACAGGAGTGAGAGGCTGGCGGGACCAGCAGGGCAGGTGCAGGCCTCCCCCGACACAGTGTGTCCAGGCCTGCACTGTTCCTGGTTATAAGCAAACAGAACCATCTGGGTTGCATTAGCAGGCTCCACAGTAAACAGCCCTTAACAAAACTGGGGGCTGAGGACCTTCCCCACCCCGTGCAGAGACACAAAGCAGGAAAGGGCTGGATGGCATCCGAGTGGAAATGGCCCCGAGGGAAGCCTGCTCTCTCCAGGGCGGGGTGGGTTCCTGGACCAGGGGTGCCTCCCGAACAGGCAGCGAGACGGGGAACAGCTGGTTCTTCCCCCAGCACCTGAGAGGCCCTGGGCTCCTGACCTTTCGGATGGGGCGCAGGGGCAGCAGGAGGCCTCCTTTGCCACCCTCCGTGAAATAAAGCCGCTGCTGCCCAGGCGGCTCTGAGCTTGCACAAGGACAACAGTGACGGTGTTTTGTGCACGTGTGTTTGTGTCTGTGGCTTAAGCAGCTGGCCCCCCACGAGGCCCAGGAGCAGCAGGAGCTGCGGGCAAGCCTGCGCTGGCGGCGCCTCCAGGACGAGTCACGGAGCTCCCCGGAGCAGCTGCAGGTGCTGAGGTAAGCCCCGCGGATCCCTCCGCCTGCCCCTCCCCATCCCTCCTCTCCTTCCCCCGCGCTTCCTCCCCCCAGCCCGGCCTCCTTCCCTTCCACACACGTGTAGGCCTTGCATCAAATCTGCTGTGTTTCCTTTTTAATTAAATCGGACCAGGTTAGTCATCCTCCCAGGGATGTGATCCCCCGGGAGGTGATTGTTATGCTTCAAGTCTTTCAGGGTGTGGATTTGGACTTGCCTTCTGACATTTTCCTGGTGTCTCTATTCAGGAAAAAACTAGCATAAGGCCATTTCCGGGACCAAATTCTTCCTTTGAAGTTCTAATAGTCACTTCACCTGGTGGCTGGGGACTTGGGGAAGGTTGGGTTTGGTAGCCTGGCCGGCAGTAACCCTTTAAAGCCAAAAGGAAAAAACCCTGTAGGAAATTATTGATTCCTAAGTGTTTAGTGGTAGCAGATGTCTGTGTCAATGGGGGCTTTTGTTTGGGATCCGTCCCAGCGGGAGGCCACGCCTGGGAGGGGAGCGCTCTCCCAGCTCCTGCGTTCTGTCTCTAGACTGTTGCGGGCTTGTAGGATTACTTCTTGCCTTTTTGCCATTTTTGTCCCTCTCTGCTTTGCTGGTTTTCTTCACTTCTCTGAATAGTTATTTATCTGAAACCTCCAGCCTAGGCCCCAGGAGCACTGCGTTGCTAAGGCAACATAAGCTCTCACCCTGCCCACTCTGGGCCGGCGCCAAGCCTTTGGAATCCTCAGTCAGACAGGTGGGAAGGCAGCCATCCAGGAGGCCCCCACTTGGATGGCAGCCCCCAAGCCCGCGTGTTCTCGCTGATTTTAGGTAAACACCCGACCCATGGAGCCCAAGTGGGAGGGAGCTGTGGAGCCAGCCCGACGCTGGAGGCTGGCGCTTCCCTGCAGCTAGCAGCCTGGGTGGCTGTGAACGCTGTGCTCAAAGCTCAGGGCTGCCCTCAGCTCTGACTCCTGCATGGTCAGGAGAGCCGAGTCCACCTGCGCCCCTCGCCTCCCTTCACTGGGCTGGTGGGTGGCTCCACCCACATGGACAGGGCCCAGCCCTCAGGAAGCTTCCGCTTAGGGGGACCCTGCCACGTGCACAGCGGGTTGCAGGTGCTGAGAAGTGGGGCGAAGGGAGCCCAGTGATTTCTAGTGAGGGGTTGGTCATGCCTCTGGGGGAGGCCCAAAGGCCTGAGGCAGGAAAGGGCGTGGCATGCTGGTGCAGAGGGCAGAGGGGCAGAGGGACAGAGGGAGGTCAGGGAGAGCAGGCAGGAGCAGACCCAGAGCCTTGCCCCAAGGGCCTTGAGCAGGGAAGGCACCCCGTCCAGTGGGTTACATGCTGCGCTGACTGCTGGGGGGGTGGGGGTGCAGGCAGCTCGCGGAGGGAAGGTGCAGGTGGAAGGCTGCAGTCTGCACAGGAGCGCCCGGTGGTGGCGTGGGGGGCGCAGGGAGCAGGCCTGTTTGCACACGTCCTGGCAGGTCTGGGTGAATGGACTGTGCAGAAGAGGACGAGAGTGGCTGGCATGACGTCCAGGGTTTTGCCTGAGTGGCTGGTGGACAATGAGGGATAGCAGGCACGGCCTCTGAGAGGGGCGGGCTTTGGAGGGAAAGATATAGATTCCAGCTTCACATGCATTCAGGTGGATGCCCAGGTAGCTGTTCAATATTGAGAACTCGGTGGGTCCACAAGTCAGGAGCTCATTGGAGAGATTCCAACCTTTGGCCTACAAAGACTTTAAAATCTGAGCACCTTGAAATCACCAGGGAGAGAGGAAAGTGAGAGAAGAGGTTGGGAGGAAGATTGGGGTCGGGGGCAGGTGGTGGCGGCGGGATAGTGTAGAGAAAACTCAGACACCAGAAGCCAGGAAAGAGTGAAGAAGGCGGGAGTGGGTGTGGGATGCTGCTGAGGCCGTGTGAAAGGGAGGGAGAGCCGTGACCTTTGGGCGGGACCACACAGCGATGCTGTGGTCTTGACATGCATGCATTTATTCATGGGTGGGGGAGAGCGGGGCCAGATTGGAGTTGGTAGGAGAGTGAGTGGGTGGTCGGGAAGGGGACAGCGCGTGGACTTGGTAGGGAAGCTGTGCTCGGAGGGGAAGCTGTGGAGGTCAGAGAGGCTTGCTGGGGGTGGCTGTGCACCTGGGTAACTGTGCCGACCCTGCCACCTCTCCACTCAGCTTCTTCATTCTCCAAGTGCCCGGGGCCCTCTGATGCCTCGGTTCTGTGTGACCACGTCCTGGGGGGCGTCATGATTAATGTCGGTTGATGGCGTGTGTTTCCAGCTTGTGAACCCTCAGCCTGCGCCCTGGGAGGTCAGCACTGGTGAAGGGAGCTTCATCTCCGTGGCGCTGTGGCCAGCCCAGCTCTGGTGGCCATGAGCTTTGCCTTCGTGTATGGAGCCGGGAGAAAGAATACGCTGTGTGTATCCGTGTACTAGAAGGCTGACGGTGGCATTGATTTTTCTCTGCCTTCATATTCAGAAATTATGTTTGCCTGAATTTAGGCTAAGAGTCCGCCCTTCCATGGACACAGAGAACCTAGAGCAGTGATGGCGAACCTTTTGAGCTCGGCGTGTCAGCATTTTGAAAAACCCTAACTTAACTCTGGTGCCGTGTCACATATAGAAATTTTTTGATATTTGCAACCATAGTAAAACAAAGATGTATATTTTTGATATTTATTTTATATATTTAAATGCCATTTAACAAAGAAAAATCAACCAAAAAAATGAGTTCACGTGTCACCTCTGACACAGGCGTCATAGGTTCGCCATCACTGACCTAGAGGTTACTGAAGGGACAGGGGGAACCAGAATTGTAAACATCAGTTCTCAGACTTTGTTTCGTTTCACTGTACAAATAAGAGCTGGGTAAAGAAGTCTCTTAAGCAACACAGTGACCAAAGATGCTGTCTTGTTTTTTCATTTAAGATACCGCATGGTCTTGAAATGATGGACCGAGCACAGGGTAGAGGCCTTGGTGTGTGTGTTGATGTGCTCCTCCAGGCTGCCAGGTGCTGAGGGAGCTTCTCCCGGCCTCTGCAGCAGCTTCCACCCACCCACCTCCTCCCAACAACACTTCCTCCCCCTGGCGCCTGTGTCACACGCTCCTTGGTTTCCTTCCGCCTCACGGCCGTTCCTCCGGCTCTCGCTGGGGTGGCCCGGGCTCAGAAAGACGGAATGAGGAGCAGAGCCAGCGCAGCTGTCCTCCTTCCCTGGACCATCTCCCTGCCGTCAAGGAACTCGATGTCACTTTCCTTGTGTGGAAATAAAAACAGTCCCTGTATCTTGAACTGAGGGAGGACATGAAGGTCGGCATAAAAAAAAAAGTAACCTTGGACCAAGCATCTTTGTACACATGAGAGCATAGCTATGGGCAGGGGCGTCGGGGGGTGAGGGGACGGGGGGAGAAAGCAACATTGTGTTGGTCAGATACTAGAGTGTTAGCAAAGTGAGAAGAGAAAAACTAAAATTCTGTTTGGCGCTGACCTGCTAACTTCAGTCATTGATAGGAACTGGTATCCATTCGTGCCTTCCACGTACCCAGTGGTGAGCTGTGGGTCTCGTCAGCTGTGTCCTAGGTCGGCGTGGCGGTGAGCTTCCTTGTTGCAGGAGTTTCGGGTGCTCCCAGCCTCCTCAGCCTGCCTGGGCTGGGGCGCCTGCACTGTGACCGCAGGCTGTGGAGGCGTGGCCATGTGCTCAGACTTTCAAAATGCCAGGGGTCACATTGCTGACTCTGTGCCTTTTCTCCTTCGTTAATTATTAAAGATGCCTTTCCCGTAGGCAAGGCCCCAGCGGCTCTCTGCAGACTCTCCCTCACGCTCCTTCAGCCCTGGCGGGGCTGACCTCCTCCTGTCCTACTCTCCCCTGCCTGGCCGCCACCTCTTCACTCCCTCCGCCGTCACCCCCACCCTCAGCCAGGGAGGCATCCTGCCTGCTCCAGGGGCCAGGGGAGATCGGGAAGTGGGGGCTTCTAAAGGCTCCGCGGCCTGGCCGCCTGGCCCCAGGGCCCAGCTGGACGCCGGCCTCTCTGAGTGCTGTCAGTCGGAGCTCTGACCGGCTGGTGGATGGAAAGAGCTATAGGTGGCGGCGTCAGAGGAAATCTCTATTGGTTTTTATTGGGGATTTATTATCACGCCCCCCTTTTTCTGGATTCATTGTTAAAGTCAAGCTTGTGCTGAGAAAAACGTTAAAATATATCACGTTGAGGAGGCGATCGATGACCAGCCCCCAGTCTGATGCAGCTCCTCCAGCTGCTGCCACCACCGACCCTGAAGTCCTGGGGAAAGGAGGCGTCCGCCCTCCCGCACGAGTGCCTCAGCCCTGCCCACCAAGGTGCCCCGTATAGCAGGAGCCCTGAGTGTGTCGCTCTGTTATGGCCAAAATGAAGCGTGCACCCCAAGCTCTGTGGCCCGCACACGCCGGAGCACTGTTCCGTGACGCTGGGCACGGAGCCTGTGGGCGGCCCTGCGGGGGGGCAAGTGGGTTGGAACATTTCTATCCCTCTCCCTTCCTCTGTCTCTAAATAAGGAAAAACATGTCCTCAGGGGAGGATTTTTTAAAAAGTCCATGTGTGAACCTTCTCTAATATGCGTGAAGTTTTCACCTCTAAAGTTTTTCTCAAAATTTTTATGTGTAATGCTTCAAGCACATGGCAGTCTTTTCCCACCCAGGCGTGGAACCACGTCCATCGCGGCCCTCAGGCCTGCCTCAGGGAGGAGCTCCGCCCTTCACGGCCCCCTGTTGCTGTCACATGCCCACCCCTAGCTCAGGCTCAGGCTCCTCCATGCTCCTCCAGCCTGAGGCCTCAGGGCTCCCCGCAGCCTTCCCTCAGTTGCCACTGGCCCAACTCTCCCTCCCCCTTTGCCTCCTGCCCCACAGGGGAAACTGAGCCATTGGCCTGTTGGCCCTCTGAGTCTATAAATGCCTTAGCATCCACACCTCCCCTGACCTCCCAGATGCCCGAGTGCCAGCCTGCTATTAGTTACAGATACAGCTC